CAAAAATATTTTTTGAAATCAAATTAATTAATGTTGTAGATATTTACTTCTTAGAATATAATTTGGTACTTTTTTGGTTCTGAGATGGCAAAACCCTTTGCTGAAAGAAGTACTTCTGAGGGCAAAGGGAGGGACTTCTGGTGACAAAGGTCAGGAGTTAGGGGGTGGGACTTTCAGTCACAAAATGAGTACCAGGGGGTGGGGCATTTATCAAGGGGTGGGGATAGCCACGTGGCCCTTGACAGCTTGCCAAAACTCGGTAAGTGGCCCTCCACCTAAAATAATTGCCTGCCCCTGTCCCATGCACATAGTATAAAATAGTCACTGGCCCAGGAAATAAAATGTTATCATCCCCATATTAGAAATGAGGCACATTTCTAATTTCAGAAAAGAGTCAAGCCACACAACACATGCCCATCTGAATTGAACCTAGGCCTTTTGAGCTCTAGTTCAGTAACTTAACTGAAAACCCATCTTTCCAGCATCCTCTGTGGACTGTGGAAATTTCTTTTGTTCTGAGTAGAAGAGATTGAGGCCCTAAGGCAGTTACACAAATAAAATCAGTCTGAACAACATTTAGGATCCAAAAAAGAAGAACAGCTTTATTTTAGGTAGAAAATATATTCTTGAACTTTACTCCATAAGGATGAATACAGTTGGATAACAGTATCACCCAAACTCATTTATTGTGCCTAGACTACAAGCTTCAGGGTAGTAATTATTCTACTTTTTTCTTTCCAGCTGCATCAACTGCTATAAGTGGAGTTGCATCTGCTTACTTCCCTCCTAATGTAACCTGCTGGGAGACCATAGCTGATGCCACTGCTGAAAAACACCTCATAAATACCTTTCTTGGAGACCTTGCCAAAGAAGGGTTGGACGTATTGGACAAACATGACGAAGATTTTGATTGTATAATTTGTGGTAACTAGATATCAGCAAATCCAATAAACGTGAAGCACAGAGTGGAGGCCTATTTTATTTTGAAAGCAGGGTAATTTGGTTTAATCAATTCACAGAGAAACTGATGGATTGTCACTTAGCTGAATGAGAATCAGTTGTATGAGCATCAGGGGGAAAAAATCAAGAATGCATCTAAAATTTGCATAAGTTTCAGCTCTAGACGTCTTTAAATATGTAGTTTATATATAGTTCACTGTCTATATCCAAGCACATGTGATAAAGATATGTTTGGTAAAGAAAATATTCATATAATATAAAATAAATTTGTTCAAAAATACTCATTTGACAGACCTTGAGATAAAGCCTCGGAATAAATAGAGTACATACAGTGGCAGCATTGACTTCTCCCATGCCTAAGTGTATCATCCATGATGCGAAAGGGACATTCTTGCAATACAACTCTTGCTCTGGGTTCAAGAAAATACTTTTAGTTATGGAAGGTACTGCCTTTCAAATAAGACAAAAACTTATGATGCAAAGAATGGGCAGATCTAGGAGTTAGAAAAGGAGGGTGCATCATCACAGATATCCTGATGGATAATTTCTCCAGTTAAAAAGAAACTAGAAGCTTTACTAATGTGCTAGGGCAGGGGGTTTCTAACCTTTTGGTGGTGGAGGCTGGACACAGAGTGGGGGGACTTGCACGTGGCAGCCACTGTGCCACCCACCACTCCGCACTGCCACTACCACCCATGATCCCGCGCTACTGCTGCACCCCAGTTTCCCACGGCTGGTCACACATGCAGCTCCATGGGCTGCTGACAGTTCTCACACCCGACAATTGTGTCCTGGCCGTCAGCAGCTCACAGAGCCACATGTGTAACTAGCCATGGGAAAGTGGTATGCGGTGGTGGTATGGGGCAGAAGGCAGTGGTGGCGGCATGGACTGGTGGATACCAGCAGCAGCCACCATGAGTGAGCTCCTCCTCCTCCCCCCCATGTCCCACTGGTGGCCCGCAGAGGGATGCTGTTGCCTTTTGCCCCTCCCCACCAGCCCTGCTCCTGGGAGGTGGTGCCACAGGGTAGTGGGTGGTGGCACTCTGTCCCCACCCACCTGCATGTACCCCCAAGGACTTTTCCAAGTAGCCCTAGGGGTACATGTATCCCTGGTTGAAAACCCCTGTGCTAGGGGTCTAGGGCTACATTATTCAGTTAAAGTTGAAAGCAAAGCCAAATATAACTTTATTGGAATGTGCATTAATATGCTACATTATACATTAAACATATAAACACAACACACTAGGCAAATAATATCAAAGCTGTTGTTTCATTAGACCTGTGGTCATTAGAATTAAAAGGATATCTCTTATTCAAATTTATAAAATGAAAGTTAGCCTTCCTGAATATCTTGACAGAGCATCCAACACTTCACTGAGTTATTTCCACATCTGAGTGAGATCTGCCAGGTGTTGGATTGCAACAGACATTTCTTCACAGAGTGTAGTGAAGGGGGTTATGGCAAGCCATGACACATTAAATTTCAAGCTGCTGCCTTTAAAGGTGAGCCAGGGCTTTCACTGCTGCCCTTCAGGCAGGAGGAGAGGGATTAAGTTTGGCTGCACACCTGGAAAAACTCTACATGTAGCAACCCTTTTCTACCTCAAAGGAAGCTGTTACCAACAGAGCTTGGTAGATGGTGTATGATCTTTACCAATCACCCAGGAAGATATTTACCCATATTAGCAGCAAAGTGGGGTGGGAAATGGGGGTCTGTGTGGGGGACAAGTAAAGTATCATCAAAAGAAGAATTAACCCTTTGATGGGAGAAAGATTTCTAGGGCAGGATTTAAAAGAGAAGAGCAGGAGTGGAGGGTCTATGTGGAGTAGGGCAGGAAAGAAGGTATGGAACTTCTCCAAAAGTGGAAAAGCACCAGCCCCAGGAAGTGACGGGCTAGCTGGTAATGATTTGGCCCAGGGGTTTTGAATATGCAAAAGATGATTGGAGGGCTTGGGATTCCCTTTCCTCACCAATCAGGCCCCAGACACTCACCCTCCATGTCCCCTGATTGGCCTCTTGGGTCATCTGGAGGGGGATAAAAGGGGCAATGCAGCGGACTCAGGGAGACCAGCGAGGGACCATGAGGAAGGAGTTTCAAAGAGCTGGGCCAGTGGGGTGAGAGCAGTTGCCCCAGAAGAACTTGAAGGAGTGGGACCTGCAGGCAGCAGTTGGACCCTCAGCAGTGTGGTGTGCGGCTGGCTGGAGAGGCTCCCCGCTGGGCTCCAGGATTTCCCCTATGAGAGGCTGCAGCCAGCAGGAGAGGTTCCCCAGCTCCAGCAAGAGGCTTGGAAACTCGAGGTGAGGCAGGGGCTCCTGGAAGGTCAAAACCCCTAGCAATTTGGAGAGTACCAGTACTGGTGGCTGTGGTAGTGTTTCTGCCTACCATGTGGGAGATCTGAGTTAAAGTGTCAGCTGGGGTAAGTGAACTGACAGGAAAAAATTCTTGTTGCAGTGGAAAAGGGGTCATTGTGTTTTCCCTTTTCCCCCACTCCAGGTACCTAGGCCCTATATTTCTTGTTATTTGACATTTGGTATTTTGTGCATTTTATATTTTGTCAACCAGTATTGTTTGTTCTGCTGTTTGTGTTTTATATTTTGTTAAACCTGTCTTTTTTCACTCGGATGAATATTTCTAGGATTCTAAGTGCCTAACCTTTATTGAATCCTGCCCCCCTCGGGGCATTGTAGTGTCCCCTATACCCTCTGGTTTATACATGTTATGTTCCCACTACTGTTCTCTCATTAAAAGGTATATGGTTAAGTCCCCATTTGTGGTCTGGCTCTGCTCTACAGGGGAAGGAGGGTATCTACACCTCTCACAGAGCTTGTGCACCTGCTCTGATCCCTTCAATTGGAGATCCTTTCTTGGAGTACCATCTGGGTTGCAGAAGGTATGGAACTTCTCCAAAAGTGGAAAATCCCCAGCTCCCAGGAAGCTCATCTGGGGGCTCTGCACTGCCTAACCCATTCCCTGCTGGTACTGGTGCAGGCAGTTTTTGCAAATGGCCCCAGCAGTGCATCCCATTCCCTTCTCCCCACCTCTCACTTATTGACTAGGCTCCAGAGCCTCGAGCAAGCCCCCACAGCCCAGAAGCAGGTTAGGTATACTGGTGGAGATGAATCCCCCTTTGAATGCACCCACCTCCACAGGTTTCCCTCTTACCAGCTCACTCCTCTCCCTCAAATAGGCCTCCAAGTCCCAACCCAGTCCCACAATGCACTTGGCATGCTGGATTCTCTCAATGCCATGTCCATAGAAAAGCCACTGAGTTGAGCAGGAATGAAAGGGGGCCTGACTGTGCCAGTGCACCCCCCTAGGTCTGGCCCTCATGCACTGTAGTCTCTAAAGATTAAAATCTATTTTTCTAGGGTTGAGGATGTGACTAGCAAAGTGAATCTTCATTTGAGTGGGGTCATTCAGGCACTGTTTCAATAGGAAGAAAGACTTTAGGACTTTATGTTCATTATAGATTTTTCAGTGAACCATATCCAGACTTGAGCACAAGGAATTTTAAAATGCAAAAATATATTGTTTTGACCCAGACAAAATGTAAGAAATGGAATTGACCTTCACTGACAGCCATGATGTTTGCATCAGACTCCTACATTGTATTTAAGAGAATAAATGATTCAGTTGAATTGGCATATGAATAAAAAGCTTTATGATGAAAGGTAAAGAGAATGTCTTCAGTTTGTCTTTGACATGTCTCTAGGAAGAAGAGCATCAACATTTCACAGGTGAAATGATGTGCTTTTTAATGAGAGCTAAAAGGCCAGATGCTATACCAGGTGACCCTAGAGAGACCTCAGAATGGTTTGTGGCATTAACCATCCAGCTGTAAGAACAGGTTCTCACCAGACTGTGCATTGATGTTATGATAAAATGTTAATATGGAGGACCTAGATCAAGATCCTCAAAACACTCTGGCATTTAAACATTTAATAGGGCTGTGTGAAGCTCCAGTCCCTAATGCTAAGATGTTAGACTCCAACTCCATGTAGCGCCCAACGACTAGGGAGCTGACGATCCAATTGCCCATGGATCCTGTGACTCATTAGCCAGAGAAAGCAGGGAGCAAACACCAGCACACATTGCTCAAAACAGCTTTATTCATAATGGAGACAGCTTTGGACTAGCTCCCAAAAAAAACAACAAACTGGGGAGCCGCCCCGAACAATAGTTCTTTCCACATTTATAAACCTTGGTTCATACTTATTAACATTCACCCTGCCTGTGTCCCTCCAGTTCCACCCATTTCTCCTCCTCTCAAGCTCTGCCTATGTTTACTGTTTGCTTCCTTAGCATGGTATTGCCTATGCATTTCATTTATTTACCTGCCTCTTTGCTAAGAGCGCATGCCTAAGACTTTGACCCCTGTCTTCTCTCGGTCAATTGTGGTTTCTTGCTGGTTCTTTCTGGTTTCTTGCTGACTTTAGCATCATCTCCAAGGCCATACTTCTGCTTTGTCCCCTAACGATAGCTGTTGGTCTGTATCCTATTTTTACACAGCACAACATGCACTTTGCACCCTGTCCTTTTGTTAGGAATCTGTTTACTTAAGCATTAGCAAAGTTAGTTACTTTTAATATATCATCCAGCCTTGTGACCAGCAGCTTTTGCTGAGACACAGGAAAAATCCCTTATTCAGCTGCACACCCAGTGCTCCCCAAGATCTGAATATCATCACCCTAACACCCTGATTTGTTTTGGCAGAGATTTAGCCTGATTTGGTGGCCAAATCTCCGAATCTGAATCAAATCAGGAGACCCTTTAATCTTTCCAAATTGAATTGGAACCCTACAGATTGATTCAGAAAGATTCCAAGATTCAGATATAGACACAGCTTTAAATGTTCTTTCTACATACCTCAAGGTACCAGGGGGCTTGTGAATGCTGTGATGCTTGGGTGGATGGAGTGTCCCATGGGAGAGCAGGGGGTTCCCCAGTGCGCTTGGTAGCAGACTCAGAAATGGACCAGAAGCACTTCCGGTCCACTTCCGGGTC